GAGAGGAGAGGAGAGGAGAGGAGAGGAGAGGAGAGGAGAGGAGAGACACTGTGGCCAGGCTCTGTGGGAATCCTTGCAGGGAAGGGAACTCGTTAGTTCTTTGCAGCCGATAAACCACATGTCAGCCATGGGAGATGGGGAAGATGTCGTGGTGCTGAGCAAGAAACTCTGCTGAAATCTCTCTCCTCAGATGAGCTTGGTTCGTGGGAGCCTGGAACAGTAATATTCATGCACACCTCCATCCCAAAGTTATCCACCCCCAAGGTACAACCACCCCTCACTGGGTGTGAGCTCTGTGTTCTTTTAGACCGCATCTTTAAAAGTGAAGTGAGAGAATTTTACACCCATCAGTAACAAAGGTATGTCTGACTCAAGTTAGCCAACTAAACACAAAGAAATAGTGTAAAACCAAAATCAAGAACGAGAGAAAAGTTAGGGAAGGCTCCATGGTAACTGCAGGGATCAGTCAAGGGGCTGAACCTGTCTTGTCCCTGCAAGGATTCCTGTTGGGTAAGAATCATGCTTTTTGCACACTGATTGTTTTATGGGGGATTAGAGCTTATCTCTGCATTCTTCTGAGTGCAATTTTAGTCAGTTAAGCCAGTTTAGAAAACAAAAGACAAGATGGAGCATTTAGGGTGTTGTCTCTTCTTCCTTCTTCATCTTCTTCCTTCTTTGTCTTCTTCCTTCTTCGTCTTCTTCCTTCTTCATCTTCTTCCTTCTTCATCTTCTTCCTTCTTCGTCTTCTTCCTTCTTCATCTTCTCCTCGAGGTTTTTTGGGTAGTAGGATGGGATAAAAATTGCCACAGTGCAGCATGCAGGTGTTGGGTCATTGGGTCCCTAAGAAAAATAATCTACTTGGCATTTGTTAATTGGATAAATAGATATATAAAAGACCTTGACAAAGATCTTTGTTGGCCATTTTGCACCTATCTTAGTGCACGTAGCTCCTTGTATCTTGTATATGTGTACATATATATACATACATACATACACATATATATATATATATATATATATATATATATATTTGTAATGTAATGTAGATAAGAGAAGAATAAACCACCAAGTCTGAACAAGACAAAACTGCCTCTCTCTCACCAATCTCAGTCCGAGGGGGAAAAAGAACCCAGCCACCAGTGTCCCATCAGGACACCTCCCCTCTTCCCGTGGCAGTCACAACGGCCCCTCGGTTCTAAGCTGTTTCTTCGTGTCACAGTGTGTTGGGGAGGATGAAAAAACAGGGAAACCTTATGAATGTGATTGTTTGGCAGAAGATTCGGAAAATATGAAGGCTAGAATCGAAGTAGCAATGAAAGCTTGCTTTGAGTCATAGGATACAGAGTACAGGTTAACCAAAGAACAATAGCCTAGCCAGCTAGAGGAGAATCCCTGCTGATAAAACAATGTCCTTCTGCTGATAGAAAGTCCAAAGCTCAAGAAGCGGAATCGCGGTGTCACGATGGGACCTCAGTTCCGTGAACTCCAGCAATGGTCTCCGCAGTGTCACCACGGTTCCCATGAGGCCCTGCTGAATCACAGCAGCCCCTTTCTTCCACAAGGGTCACAGCGGGTCCTTGGCTCCATGGGGGGGTGGTTTGGAGCTCCTGCACCCTCAGCAGCTGGAGGGACACCACGCCAGACCAGCCAGGCCTCTCAGCTTGGTTCTGCTCCTCAGCAGGTGAGCAGGAGCTCAACAGCCAGCTCACCTGTGCAGTGGTGTCCTCTCCTCCAGGGACACACAGCACCACCTTCAGCTGGGAGCCCCCAGCTTCTTCCCTGTGCCAGGAGCCTCCGCTGCTGCCGTGCTCTGCCCGGGGCCAGGGCTGCCTCCTGACAAGGAGACACCAGGAAATCTCCTGATTCCCCTGCCCTCTCCTGGGTCTCAGCAGGAAATCTTGGACCAGAAGCAGTTGGGCAACACCTCAAATTCCCATTTCTTGTCTCAGGCACAGCTCTGGCCTCAGGCAGGGAAATTGCGCAGCAGCTCGCAAGAGCCTCATTGTGCCAGTGAAAAAAATCGAATCTCATCTTTTCCTGGAAATATTCTTTATGACAAAATAGTGGCTGGCAGCTGGTGAGGAGCAGGACAGCTCCTGGCTGGTCCCTGCACAGCTCTCCATGTTGTCCTGCTGGCGCTGTCGGCCTTGGGCCGGCTGCAGCGGGCACACCTGAGAGAGGCACAAAGCCCAGCTCAGGTAAGCCCACGCTACAGGAGCGATGTGTCCTTGCAGAAGAGGCTCCCAGACTGCCCCTGAACAGAGCTCAGGGCACTGACCCTTTTTCCTCCCGCCTCAACAGGGGGGCTGCTGCTTACCCAGGGCACTGAAGAACTTTTCTACTTGAGCTCCTTGGACGCCCGGCGTGCAGAGAGGAAACTCTCCCTCTCCTGATGCCTACAGCGTCCCTTCCGGCTCCTCCGCCGATGTTCCACCTGCACACGGGTGGGAGAGAGGGTCACACGCAGCAAAAGGACCTCTGGACGTCAAGGCAGGGGGATCCAGAGACCCTGAGTTGCACCTGAGCACTGGGGGTGTAAAGCACTCGCTGTGGGCTCTGGAGGAGAGTCGAGCGTGTGTCCGGGGACACTGGGGCAGCGAGGGGGGCACCAGAGCGAAGGTGCCTTTGTGGGGGCCATGGGGTGCCTCAAGAGAGAGAAAACACAATTGTGTGCCCACAGGGGGGAGAGGGAAGGTGTCATCCTGGAAATTGAAGCCTTCTGATAATGTTTTCACAGTTTTTGTTACTTTCCCATGAAAGTTCTACAAACATAAGTTGTTTATCACATTCCTTCTAAGGAACGTCTTTTGATGGACATTTTGCATGGCCAGTGTGATTGGGAAGGTGGTGACTTAATTATCCAATCCCTGGTCATTGCTGAGAATCTATAAATACTGGAATCAGAGAATAAAAGCACTGTTTTTTCTGTTCTGACACTGAGAGATGTTTGTATGAATCATTTTGTGCTCTCTAGAGACAGGAAGGAAACAAGCAGAGCTCCCCAAAGTGCTGCCTGGGGAAATGAGGCTTTGCAGAGGCAGCGAAATCCCATTTTACCTGCCCAAGATTCCTGCTGGGCTCAGCACTGAGTTCCCTCCTCCCTGTCTTCTCTTCTGATGGTGCAATCAGACCCAGCACGCATTCCAGGCCTTTCTTGGCGTGCCGTGACAGCCGCTTCCCTTCCTCTCCAGCAGCCTGGTGGGCATCCAGAGAGACGATTCCGTTCTTTTAGAGCATCACAAAAGCTGTCCCTCAGAACCCCCCATCTCTGGAAGCATCCTCCAAGCACCAGTGCAGCTGCAGTTCGGCCCTCGGTACAAAACTCTGCTCACTTCAGCCCACCACTGTTGCAGTTGATAGCTTGAGATGCATCTTTTCCCCTCTTCTGGTTGTGATTTCCCCCCTCCACGCTTCTTTTTCTCCTGTGGTTTACCTGGAGTCAGGTTACCATGGTTACTGAAGTTTTTTCTCCTCAGCTCCAGGGATGGAGTGGAGAGAGGACCCTGCTGGCATTTCCAGCAGTTTCTTGAAGTTTCGGTAGCCGGGGAAAGCGCAGGGAGAGAGAAAGACCCTTCTCTCCAGAGCATGAAAACTTGTAACTGTTTTTCCAGTCCCAGGATTCCTTTGAGCTACGGAAGCTGAGAGAGCATTCCTGCCTTCCATTTCTTTCCCTCCTGCATCGCCAGGAAACCATGGATTCCCCCTCTGCCCCTCTCTGGAGGATACTCCTACACCTCTGTGGGCATTTGAAGAAGTTGCTGTCTGTTATTTCCTTGTCTTAGTGAATGTAACCTTGATTTGTAGAAAGTTTGTGAAATGTACTAGCTGAGAAAAATAATTGGTTCCCTCTCTGATGTTCCCTCCTTCCGAAAAACCCTGTTAAAATAAACCCCCCGACCCCAAATCCTTGGTCTCTCGTCCTTTGGATTCCCCTTCACAGAAAGGAGATAATAATATCTGTGGATATTATATAATAATAATTATATAATAATATATAATTATAATGATTATAATAATATATAATAATATATGTTGATATTATTATATAAATATAATAATAAACTTTGGAATAATAATAATAATTATAATAATAATAATAATAATAATAATAATAATAATAATAATAATAATAATAATAATAATAATAATAATGATAATAATAATAATAATAATCTGTGGAATGCAAACCAGGGAGAGATTCCACCTCTGATTTCTTTGCTGGCTTGATAGACCTGAATTCCTGAAGAAAATCAGTGAACCCCACAAACATCTGCTGGCTCGAATATGAGGAGAAACCTCACCACTGAGCTAAGCCAGGCTGCTCTGGGGGTTTGGGTGACACCACTCGCAGCAGCTGCGCTCTTTTCAACACCACCTGTGGCCTCCTCTTGTCTAGGCAGGGCAGAAACAGCTCCCCACACCCCGATTTTGGGCTGGAACCGGTTTTAATGGTGTGGGGTTTGGCATTTAGGAAAAACAAGTGGGAAAGGTCAAGCTCCAGAGCTGTGCCAGGAAACCTGAGTTTCCTGAGCCCCGAGAGCTCTGCCCACCCGGGCCGTGGGCTGACAGGGATTTGTATTCCCACCTCTTGATGGGAAACAGCATTGGAATCCTTCAGGGATGTTGGAGTGAAGATCAACCCCAGTGCCTACCTGCAGACAAGAGCGGTCCGTGTCCCTGCTGGCAGCTGTCCTCTGCAGGATTGTTAATTTTTTCCTCAGACTCCCTTTGGACATTTCACTCTTGGCAAGGGCAGCGCCCAAGGCTTGAGCCTTCTTCCTCCATTCGAGTTCTCCGTTTTCTCTCTGCTTCAAAGCAGCAGCCACACGCTCCAGCTTTTCCCTCATGGCTTCCCTCTCAGTTTCCCTCCTCATTTGGTTTAGTTCCTTCCTTTGCAAGGAAGTTATGTGCATTAAATTCTTCTTTTCCAGCATTCTCATCTGCTCCCGGTACAGCCTGATTTCCCTCTCCCTCTCTGAGAGGTCGGCAGTCACGCGAGTGAGATTCCCCTGCAGAGCTTGGGCCTCTTCTGCCTCTTTCTGGAGCATCTCCAGTTTCTTTTCCTGTGCTTCCAGTTTTTCCTTTTTCACTTGGAAGATGGATATGATAGTCTGAAGTTCTTCTTGGAGGGAACGATTCCTGTCCATGGCTGCATTTGCTCGGCTTTCAGAGGCTGTGACTGATTCTTCCAGGAGTTTGATCTGACACTCAAGCTTTTCGTTATTTGCCTGCAGACTGTCCCGTTCATGCTCCAAAAGAGGGAGAAAAAAAAAGAGTCAGTGATTCCATCTCGGTTTGCTTTTCGTAGCAGATCTGAGCACCTGCCGCGGCTCCAGGCACGGGCTGCCCCTCTCTCCCTGCCCCTCGAGGTGCTGCAGATCTTCCCCAGCTCCCTCAGCCTGTCCCAGGCTCCTTTCCACCCTTCCCTGGCCTCCTGGAGCCCTGCTCAGGTGTTCCTCCGGGGAGGAACGGAGCTCCAGGGGTGGGCGCCGACAGCTACAGCTTCCAGAAAGCTCCAGCGGGGAGGAAAAGCAGCAGCCTCAGGCCTGGCTGGTTTTGACATGACTGTGACACGTTTTCCTCTTTACTCGGAGGAATGCAGTTAGGAAAGTCAAACTGGGGGAAGGTTAAATTAAACCACTCCTCAGATATGGCAAAAGGCCCCAAAACCACAATAAATGTCCCTTTGTGGTGTCTGCCACTCTCACCAGCACATCTTTTCTTCCCTTCTCCACATTCTCCAGTTTCCTCTGCAAAGATTCCAACTCCTGCTGAAGAGCCACAGCCTCTTCCCTTCTCGCAGCGGCCTCTTCCCTCAGGGCAGCTTCTAGAGAGTTCCTGCGTTCTGCCCTGCGCGTCGCTGCGTCAGGGGAGGGGAAGGGAAAAAGCAAAACAAAACTGATTTGCATCCTGCATCTCTGCCTGGCTGAGCTTGCCAGGTCCTAAATCCAGCGGGGCTTCCAAAGCTGACAGAAATGAGGGAAAATGGGCAGAGAAAACAACAACAACAACGAGAAGGAGAAAGAAGGAGAAGGAGATGGAGATGATGGAGATGGAGATGGAGATGATGGAGATGGAGATGGAGATGGAGATGATGGAGATGGAGATGGAGATGATGGAGATGGAGATGGAGATGATGGAGATGGAGATGATGGAGATGGAGATGGAGATGGAGATGATGGAGATGGAGATGATGGAGATGGAGATGGAGATGGAGGAGGAGGAGGAGGAGAAGAAGGAGAAGGAGAAGGAGAAGGAGAAGGAGAAGGAGAAGGAGAAGGAGAAGGAGGAGAATAAGACGGAGAAGGAGGAGAAGAAGGGCAAGGTTCAGAGGAATATGAAAGTGTGTTTGTTTTTAGGCCTGTGCAGGGTGGGCAGTCAAAAGGAGAAAGGGGGAGCCTGTCCAGCCCTGCTACAGAGAGACCAAGAGCCTGGAGGCTCTGGATGGCCTGGAGTTTGGAGGAATCAAGCCGAGACATCCAGCTCCTTGGCAGAGACATGGCACCTGAAAGGCACCACCTGTGCAGGTGATGGCTCCTAGCACAGCCAGGTGCACCACCAGCCACGGGATCTGCCTCCACGACAAAGCTTTCACTAGCTCTGCTATGGATGAGTCTCCTGCTGGTAGTTTTCCTTCTCTCCCACCTCTGGGCACTGCGGTTTTGCTCTGCGTGGCGTCAGAGATCCCTGCGGATCAGCGATCCCTGCAGAAGACAGGATGGGGTGGGAGAGGAGAAGCTGTACCTTCCTGGCTGTCAGCCAGCTGTTTTTGCAGCTCCTGGTTGCGGGCACTGAAACAGTCTCTCTGAGCCTGTGTCGTGCTCAGCTGCAGCTTCAAGGCCCGAATCTTCTTCCTGGCTTTGTTCTGGAAGGGGTGAGAGGAGCAGAATCACCTCACGGGGCCACTGCTGGCACAAAGGGCTGCAAACACAAATAGCCCAGGTGGGAGAGGGCAGCTGGCCAGAACTGGGAGATGTGATTGTGATCCTCCTTCCTGCCCCTCTACAAGGACTGCCACCCAGCCTGGCACTCTGTTTGCTCAGCAGCAGGACGGGATTTCGGGGTGCTCTGGGCACAGGTTACCAGATCTTTCTGGGAACACTCCAGCTGCTGCCACAGGTCCTGCAGGGCTGCTGCCGCTCCGTCCACCGCCAGCTCTGTGGGGACATCCCTGGCCTGAGAAGCAGTCAGGCTCACGACATGATCCTTTTCTGAAAAGAGAAGACATTTCTGGTTCAGGATTTAATTCCAGGCTCTCCAAAGGCCTCTTTCTACAGAAGGTGGCAGCGCCTTTCTCGCTGTCCTGGAGCCCCCCTTGCAGCAGGACCTGCTGTCTTGGGTTGTAATGCAAGATGTAACTAAAATTATTAATTCCAGCAGTTAAAACCTGGTGGGGCAGTATTCTTTATCTCTTTCATCACCCATCTCTCATAACTGGGGGATATTTTATGTTAATGGGATAGTTGTTAAAACCATGTGTGGCAGTGTTCTTTATCTCTTCCACCTCAAAACTGGGGGATATTTTACGTTAATGGGATAATTGTTAAAACCTGATGGGGCAGTGTTCTTTATCTCTTTCACCTCAAA